CGTTATTACTTGGTCGATGATGCAAAGGTCATTGGTAATATCGACTATTCGTAAAACGGACGTTTGCTGGGTGTTTACCCAAAATATTACAAATAATTTCTGAAAACCAGACTAATGAGACTACTTCCATGATGTTGTTAGCATTGTTGAAGTACGTTGTTGCCAGCCAGAAGATGATAATGGTGGTACAATACAACAAAGCTGGCTTAGATGCCTACGTTACGTAATCGTGTCTTTGTAATCCGAGCCGACTTTACCGTTAAGCAAGTTAATTTACCGTTATTCTAGTAAAGTTAAGTCACTTAACTTAAGTGACTTAATTCCTTTAACTAGCTTAGCTATAATTGAGTGGTTCACGTCGAACTTTTAACTAGTTAAGTGGATGTATATCTAGATAAAAGTTCGACGTGAACCAAGCTAGTGTCACAACAAGTCAACATGAAATTAGGTTGCTTAAATCATGGAGGAGATTCCTCTATGTTTAAATGTACCAGGGAACAGTTAAATTACATGGAATGATCTCTAAGGCATGCTAATCCGATTGAGTTCCTATTGTTCGCTATTGTTCGCTATTGTTCAAGTTAATTAACTTCCTGCTGTGTTCTAGTTGTTTGATCATAGATGCGCGGTACCGACAGTTCAGCAACAAGTATGAAAATATCACCACCATCAGCAACTTGGCCTTAGACTTCAAACCAGTCATTTTCTTTTTAAACTCTTTTTGTGTTTTTAACAAATATAAAGCAAGTTGACACATGACGACTTATTTGAGACCATTTTACATATGTGATAAACCTGTTCCCTAACTAACATGGCAAGATTTACTAAGCAAGCAGAGTACTAAATCATTTTCTGGTAAGTATATGAAGTTGCAATGTGCCAAGTTACTTACTTTTCCAGTTTTAAAATGCCACAAATGCTCGTCATTTTCAAGCATTTTTTTTTTCCTGTTAATTGTTACATCATAAATTCAATAAATAACAATAAAATAGCGTACAGGAGAGGAGTACAATATTACAGCAACATAAACTACCAACTCCCTGCATAAAAACACCATCCCACTTATACTCCACTGTCACAAGTATGTTTAACAGTGAACACAGGCATAAGGGCCTAATATAATTTTATTTGTTAAATAATATTATGGATACATGATTAACAGTCCTAGCGAGTTATATCTGCCGACTGTATTAGGATAACTAGAGAGAGGTGGGCAACTCTAGTATTCTAGGTCTCTAGGCTAAACGGAAAAAGCATTCGCAACAAACGTCCATGCTAGGATGCCTGTAATGCCCGGCGCCTCCAACAGTACAGTACTAGGCGTCCTTGTATCTGGGCCCAAATCCATGTCAAACTGTTGATAGTTAAAATATTGACACTCTAGATTTACTATTTGATTGGTATTTTAAAATAGAATATAGACCGTTAGCCATCGAGCATATTTGCAAAATATTAAAACAATCGTCGCGATGTAGGCCTAGTCCCCATGTATCGTTTCTGTATAACATTTATGTGGTGTAATTTAACTGTTCCCTGGTATGATCATGGTTGATACGACGCCGATCACCATGAGAACACGATGCAGGAAGTATTAGATCGTGTAGTTTACACAATAGCGAGCATGCGCAAAGCAATTGGGTCGTCGTAATTAGTTGTAAATTGTTTATCAGTTGATTATGATAAGAGCGACGGTAACACCAGTTATAATCTTTGATGTTCTGTTCAAGATGTTTCCATGTAATTTAACTGTTCCCTGAATGTTCTGACACAGTCATGAGAATTAATAAATTTTATAAATTGTTGTGTTGCACTTTAAATTTTTTTTAAATGGGGATTGTCAGTCGATCAGTCAGATAATGTTATACCTCAAGTTTTAGTCTAATCTAGATCATCAAAGTCATTATCATAATAATACAAAGAGGAAATAAAAAGCAAATACACTGTAGTTAAATGTAGGAGATCTGAGATGTTGTACGTTGATATTAACAAATAGGATGTGGTTCCAAAAATAATCCTAAGACATCCTAAAATAATAATAATGAAGATAGAGTCAAGGATTCATGTCACACTTGGATCCTATAATAAATGAACTGAAGTAATTTTTGTTGACGCTTTGCATAGTCAATGAAATGCCAACAGACAGATAGGATTTAATATTAAAAGGTCAACTAATTTAACTGCATGCATCTTTTTATTTAAGAGAAATACAAAATGTATGTTGTTAGCCATATGAAAAGTGAAACAGAATGCTTGCTAACCAACAATCTGTAGCACAGTTATGATGGTGCATATTATATCCTGCAAAAATTCTTGAATTATGTCATTCATCAACTTCACTAAGGAAGCTCTGGGTATCTTTGTTCTCAATGTTTTAATGTAGTAACATTTATTCAATATTCAATGTTTTGTAGGCATTTATCGTAGTTATGATATAAGCCCATCCCCCTCCCCCTTTGTGCACAAAATTGGGCAAATTTTTTTTTGTCATCACTGTATTGTATACTTAGTTTAATACAGTATAGTACAATATTTGTATACTTAGTTTAATACAGTATAATATTTGTATACTTAGTTTAATACAGAATACAGTATTATTTTACTTAGTTTAATACAGTATAATGTTTTCTGAGAAAATTTGTAAGTCATACTATTGGCTTTTGCCTGAAGAAAGGCTAATTGGGCACCAAAGTAGGGGTGGGCTTATACCCGAGGAATTGTGCTTTTTTGGTGTAATAGTGCCTATTGGGGTGCTAGTAAGTAATAAGTGCATATTGGGGTGCTAGTAAGTAATAAGTGCCTATTGGGGAGCTAGTAAGTAATAAGTGCCTATTGGGGTGCTAAATCAGTGCCTATTGGGGTGTTAGTAATTAATAAGTGCCTATTGGGGTGTAGTAAGTTATCAGTGCCCATTGAGTGCTAGTAAGTAATAAGTGCCTATTGGGGTGCTAGTAAGTAGTAAGTGCCTATTGGGGTGCTAGTAAGTAATAAGTCCCTATTGGGGTGCTAGTAAGTAATAAGTGCCTATTGGGGTGCTAGTAAGTAATAAGTGCCTATTGGGGTGCTAGTAAGTAATCAGTGCCTATTTGGGTGCTAGTAAGTAATAAGTGCCTATTAGGGTGCTAGTAAGTAGTCAGTGCCCATTGGGATGCTAGTTTAAGTAATAAGTGCCTATTGGGGTGCTAGTAAGTAATAAGTGCCTAATAGGGTGCTAGGAAGTAATCAGTGCCCATTGGGGTGCTAGTAAGTAATAAGTGCCTATTGGGGTGCTAGTAAGTAATCAGTGCCCATTGGGGTGCTAGTAAGTAATAAGTGCCTATTGGGGTGCTAGTAAGTAATAAGTGCCCATTGGGGTGCTAGTAAGTAATAAGTGCCCATTGGGGTGCTAGTAAGTAATAAGTGCCCATTGTTGTGCTAGTAAGTAATAAGTGCCCATTGGGGTGCTAGTAATACCAGTTGATACAGACATGAGTTTTTTTTATATTTGCAGATGATGAGTCGTGTTGAGTATGTACATAACAAGAATTTTATACATCGCGACATCAAGCCAGATAACTTTCTGATGGGCATAGGCAGACATTGTAATCAGGTGTGTACTGCCCCCTATTGTTAGAATTAAGACACGCCCTCTTATTGTGTCCCCTGGTGGAATAAGTGAAGTGACTCTAAAATTCAAAGCCCTTTCCACCTATATTTCCGTCGAAGGTGCAGTATGAAATCTAAAATTGCCCATTTTGTTGTAAAAAACAAAATTCTAAGCCCCTATAATTGTGCCTATATTGTTTGCTCTCGATTATCTAATGGTATGATACTTGCCTTGATAGCAAAATGTTCAAATCCTGCTAAAGACACTTTTTTTCATGGAACTTTTCGTTGAAGAGCTATTCCATATGTTCCTCTTCAAGCATTGTTGGTGTTTATCTGTATATATCTAACTTCAGTTATCTATTTATACACTTAACTCTAATCCGTCTATATAAACATTCAGCTTAAATTTTAGGTTTGTTAGGAACAAATGACTCTGTGGATTGGAGAAAATCACAACTGTTATAGGCCTACTAAATTTATGTTTATTGTAGTTGCTAGAGACAAATCATACTTTGTATTTTAATCTGAAAGGTTAAAGTTCATTTTTCAGGAGTTCATGATGGGTTTTTGTCAAAACAGAATACAGAAAGCTTTTTCTTAACAGCACAATGAAAAATATTGAACAAAAACACAGCAAAATAAAAATTAAACAATATATTGAAATTAGTATAGACTAATGATTATATAAAAACACATACAAAAATTGCTGTTATATAGTGTACAATTGAGCTGCATTAAAAATGACTAGTTTTATACAATACATATCTAAAAAACAGAACAAATTTGGAGTGCCTTGTAAATGTATTTTTTTTTCAGTTATTTATGATAGATTTTGGATTAGCAAAGAAATACCGTGACAGCAGAACAAGGCAACATATACCATACAGGGAAGATAAAAATTTAACAGGAACTGCCAGGTATGCCAGCATCAATGCCCACCTTGGCATTGAGCAAAGGTTAGTAGCAAACATTTTTTTTATCCAAGAATTCAATTCATTTCTATTATTACAAAAGCCATCATGGATATATATTTTTAAAATAGTAATGATGCTTCTAATGATTGTAATTGAAATGCTTATTATTTTCTATATTGTAATTTAAATTTATACTTATTGTACATTTTCTTTGTGTTTTTTTGTTTGCTGATTCCCCACATCGGATGGAGATCCACTTTGACAGTAACTAATTTTATTTTTTAGTTATCCCGCCAGCCCTTGTGGGGAATCAGAGACCAACATGTATTTTATCATTTTTGTTCTTCTGACTGTTTTTATCCTTTTATTGTAATTGTTTTCGGTAAAATAAATTAAATTTAATGAAAAAAAAAATGGACCAATATTTGCTAAAACAATCACAAGGCTCATTCTGAGTAAATAACTTTGTATCCTATCACCATCATCACTGCCACCCCCGTCATTGTTGTATTAATTTATTGCAACATCAGTGCAGTAGAGTTATGGCATAGTGCGTAAGATCATTCCATTCCCTGGATCCATGTGAAGGACCAAGATTTTTGTTGTTACAACTATTTACTCGCCGTTCATTTCTCATCTATTTCTCTTGCTTTCTGGTAGTCGACGAGATGACATGGAGTCACTAGGCTACGTTCTGATGTATTTTAATATTGGTGTATTGCCCTGGCAAGGCCTGAAGGCAGCAACTAAAAAGCAGAAGTATGATAGGATAAGTGAAAAGAAGATGTCTACTACTCCAGAAATGCTCTGCAGGGTACATTTCCATTTGTTTATCAAGATTCTTGTATATTGATGGAATTTTGTTAATAGAATCTCGGGCTGATTAATCTGTTCCAAGCATCATCTGAGTTTAATATTTGACAAGAAAGTCATGCAGTATTTTGTTCACATGAAATTTGCTTAATTTGGTGGTTGCTATATGAACATCTGGCTCAGTAGTATGGAGCATTTAAAAAAAAAAAAAAAAAAAAAAAATTGCCTAATATACTCAGATGATACAAGAGACATTATAATATTTTATTACAGCTTGCTATTTATTTGAACTGCACAGGCAATGAAGTATGTAAACGGAACTCAAAATTAGTCTGAAAACAAAATCAAGAACTTTCGGTCATAGACCTTTATATATTATATTCCATATTACAACCAATTTATGATTTACGTTCCTCTTTTTAGGGTTTTCCTGCAGAATTTGCAATGTACTTGAAATATTGTCGCGGCCTCCGTTTCGAAGAAGCTCCAGATTATATGTATTTACGTCAGTTGTTCCGTATTCTGTTTCGAACTTTGAACCATCAGTATGATTATACATTTGATTGGACGATGCTGAAACAGAAAGCATCCCAGACTGTTACCAGCTCACAGACAATGCGTTCGCATATGAAAATGGACCCACATGTGAAGACAATGATGTCGGCTAAACACACGTCTATGTATCCATGAAGTCGCAGTCATTCGGAATGCACATCTGTATCCATGATGTGGGAACTACCCATTGGGAGCACATGTATCCATGATGTGGGAATTACTCATTGGGAGCACATGTATCCATAATGTGGGAATTACTCATTGGGAGCACATATCCATGTGGGAGTTACTCAATGGGAGCACATGTATCCATGAAGTGGGAATTAGTCATTGGTAACACATGTATCCATGTTTTGGGAATACCTCATTGGTAAAACATTTATCCATGATGTGGGAATACCTCATTGGTAACACATGTATCCATGATGTGGGAATTACTTATTGGTAGCACATGTATCCATGATGTGGAAATTACTCATTGGTAACATATGTATCCATGATGTGGGAATTACTCATTGGTAACACATGTATCCATGATGTGGGAAATACTCAGTGGGAGCACATGTATCCATGATGTGGGAATTACTTATTGGTAACACATCAGTATCAGTCATTATTGGGTGTTAGTGATTGTTGTGTGTTATGTAATGAAAGAAACAAAACAGAATTGAGATTTTAAATTGCAGCGTAAAAACAACTATGTACATACGAGATAAATGACAAAAGTATAAATTGAAATAGATTGTGTTAAGTTTTCTGGTGTAAGCTTGCGATTGGAAAAGATGTTACATTAATAATATTAACGGAGGCAATTTGATTGGTTAAGATCATTTCACATCTAAGGTATATGTTTGTTAAATTATTTTACTTCTTGAACAATTTGATTTGTTATGTGATATTCACACAACAAATTGAAATAATTAATAAATTTATTAATCTGTTAAATATGTTGATTGATTTGCTTTATACTGTATGATGAAAAGTTTGCTAAACTGCAATATGAGATTTTAATATATCTTAAAATTCAACTAGTACAGTTGGATAGACATTTAACACTGAGTGTCTTACAGTACTTCTGTTTTAATTAATTTGAATTTGAAATTCTACATTTCTGATAATTATAACAATATTTTTATGTTATGATTATAAAATCTTCACAGAGAATATGTTTGGATTTTTATTGTTATCTATTGTAAGTGCAAAATATACATAATTCAATGTTGTTTTATCGTTTACCAAAAATTGCATTGCATTCCTCCCCATTTTAGTGCATACATCTCTTTCTCTTTACACATTCCCTACATTCTTCAGCATTCCCTCACTAACATTCCCTTCTTCATGCAAAAGATAAAAAATATTACAGTTAGCTATTATGTAAGTATATTTTGAAACCATAGTACTTGTTGCAATACTTTTAATTTTTTAATTTACAGTAGTTAAGAACATGCAATTTTTTGAGAGTTTATAAATTACTTATTTTGATTCTAGATTAGAAAAATGAAATAACAGAAAGGATGTACTGTAATTCATAGGCCCAGTTCAGATACTGAGTGAAACAAACACAAATTCATATCTTGAATGTGATAAGAAGTCAATGAGATGGAGTTTTAAATAATCAAGGAAAAGATGACCCTGAGAATTCAACAACCCCCAAATTGTTTGTGAACATGTGTTTCTTTGGCCTCTTTTAAGTCAATGAAATAATTCATGTTGGGTCCCAGGGTGATATTTGAAAGGGGTGAGTATGCAAGGGATGTATCTTCATGCCTGTCGCTATTGGCTGAGGCTAATTTAAATTATTTATAAAAATTAGGTGTTAAGAAATGTTCTACTATGGGAATTCCATACATAAATTAAGAGATTGGAAGCAAGAGTATATTATTCAAAGCATGTAGGTGCGGCTTAAAGGCCAGATTGTACTGCTAAAGCCATCTCCTTGTAGTACAGTACCGATACTCAATGAGAAGTAATATTCAGAGTATATAGGAGGCTGTTAAAAAGGCAATTAGTATTGCTAATATTGTCTGTGGGGCTCGACGAATATACCTAAATGAAAAACAATTACCCAAATTAAAAATAAAATGAATCAAAATGACACAAAGGAAACCACAAATAAACCGAAATCACTAAAATTAGACCAAAATTAATCAAAACTTAATTTTCAAATTGAAAGCTGGATACAAGTGAATGAGAATGTTGTGCCTTGCTAGCAGGGTTAGTACTTGGTAGCCTAAATGCAAAACAATTATAAATTCATTTCAGACTAATTTAATAATTGTTAATGTTTTATGTTTTAATCAGGTAGAGGTAATAATGGCATTTTCAATATTTACTGTATTAATAATGAATTGTATAATATTAATGGGTAAAGGTAATAAAGTGTATTTTCATATTTATTACGTTTACCCATTATTACTATTATACAACGCATTACAGTATTATACGAATACAGTAAATATAAGTCAGGTCAAGGTAATAATGACATTTTCAATATTTACTATATTAGTGTAATAATAATTATTAATTAATAATATATATATTACTATTATTAATATTATTAATAATTATTATTGTTAAATAATGATAATAGGTTTTATAATAATAATGGGTAACGGTAAAAAAGTGTATTTTCATATTTGTATAATGGGTAGAGGTAATTTAGGGTATTTCCATATCTTATTTATTCATATAATAGTGAATAGAGGTAATAAAGTGCATTTTCCATAATACACATATTTTCATATACAAAATGGATAGGTATTTTCATTTTATTAAATCTTGTTTATAAATTTAACAGCCTAATACAATATCTGAAAGGATAGTTTTTTATTTTTTAAAAACAACAAATCCATACCCCATAATCTTAACATTAATAACATAATTTCTATTGTATTTATTTGTTTTACTTTTAATGTTTTTATTGGTCCAGTCATTTCCAAAATGATAAAAATATTAAAACTCAATATTTTTAAAACGATATTAAAATGAATTTGATGAGTAGGCTATATGTCATATTTGATGTGCAGCTTGGTACGCCAGTGTGCAGGGCACGACATTGCCACTAGCGGTCACTATGGTCAACAGCCTTGTATTCAGCTTCATTGAGGTTTAGCTATGATTCATTTGGGTTCTTGTTTGGGTAATTCTTATTAACGGGTATTTTTAAAGGTATTTAAGTTGCAAGTTTTGTAATTCCTCATTTGGGTAATTCGTTGGACAGCTTTGTGTACTCTGTGAGTAGTAGAGCCAATATTCAAAGCATGTAGGAGGCCGTTTAAAGGCCAGATTGCTAATGGTATCTCTGTAATTCTAAAGTAGCCATACAGAATGTGTGGATTTATTAGCTAGTGCAAATGTAATGGTCCATAAGTGTATTTATTCAATATACCACATGCAGGATTAATTTGCATGTAGAGGGACAGTCCATGTAGCATGGTATTGGCACCTTGTGTTTTAGTTTGTACAGAAATTTCAATGGATCGTATTCATAGTTTGGAAAAGGATTTTGTAGTATGCAAATAATATTAAATGTGAAGTTTTCAAAGCATCCATCGAAATGTGCATTCAGTATTTACCATGGCGATATGTTGCTGAGTATGTAACATTCTTCTGTGGGGATTCTGTTGCACCATGAAAATCAAATATGTAAATTACACTGTTGAAAATTCCCCAATAGTACACTATATCCGAGATTATATTTCCACAGTATTATGATTTAAAACAAACCAAGTGATATAAGAGTTTCAATTTCTACTAATATTGTATTTGTTCCTGGATTGATTACTTGAGGCCTAATGCAATAAGACCTCAGAGAGGGCGCTGTCAACTCGCTTGTAATTACATACCGATGTTGTGAGTAGACTAAAATAAACTTGATGAATTTACCTTTAATGTACAGTGAGAACCGATGTATATCTTGATATGTATGCTTTCCATACTCAGTTCATTTAAGAAATAAATTGTTCAAAACAGGTTGCAATTTTCAAGTATTACTTCTAGTTACTTTTTTTTTTATACCTTTTTCCTCTAACCTGCCACCCTCCAATATTGATAATTTAGAATAAAAATTAAATTTTATTTTTGGTCAATTAGCGCACCGCTGCCGGGAAAAACTGGAAATTTCAGACAAAAATAAAGGTTTTTCTCTATTTTTATTACGCCCACCTCTTGAAATCTCTGAAAAATATTTCTTCCGATTTATAAATTTAAGGCATAGAAATGAGTCTACTGCTGTCTCTTATACACATCTAGATGTGTATAAAAGACAGCTTTTTATTTTTATTAATCCATTATTGGAAAATATCAGCATAAAAACAACTTATTTACATTTTTGTAAAGTTTGGAATCAACAGTTGGATTATCTTATAGTCATTTGAGTTAAAACACTTTAAAAATTTTGTTTTGAAATACTGTACATCATTGACACTATATTCTTAAGGTTAGGCAAGAATTTCCTAAATTGGAACACACAGTTGCAATTGGTGAATGGTGGTAATTTATACCACCTTTTTAAACTGAAAATAGAAGAAAGGTTTCTAAAAAATAATTGACAATAAAAAGTTTATGGAGTAAAATCCGAGACATTTAAAATTTAAGTGAAATATCAAATTCAGTTTAAAATTCAGTAGTAATTACATGATAAAAATTTAGCTACACTATAATACTTTTAAACTTTAAAAGTGGAAACACAAACATCTGTGTACAGTACTAGTAATCATGTAGAAAACACATTAAAATTAAACTCATTGAACATTGGCATCAAGTTTTAGGCTTAGTCAACCTTTCCATTCCTGTTAAATTGTGTACTCAGAATCGTGTAGAAAACATGCATCAAGATTAAACTCATCAAAGACGTTGGCATCATGTTGTAGGCTTGGTTCGGATACAATTCCATTATTATTATGGCTCTGATGTGGTGTCACATTCTCTGCATTTACGGTGGCATCGTGACCAAAAGGTGCAATCATTCCGTGATGTTGGAGGGCTGCAATGAGAGCTGCAGGGTTAAAATGTGTCTGTGGAGAGATAGAGGGCGCTACTGCATCAGAGATGATTGGTGTTGCAGCTGGAGTCGTAGTAGTATACTGAGCTTCTGATGGGTGGAGAGGTCTTGGTTGTAAATCATTGACATTCACACACTGTTCATCGGATATGTCGTCATCTTCACAATTTGAGTCTATCGGTGTACAACTACGGACGGATGTCGAGATTTCATCACTGTACCCGGAAGTTAATGAGGTGTCCAACGATGAGCACTCCACTTCCATATCTTGAGTTTCATCACTGTTGAAGTCATTGAAGCGTAGAGATTTCCTATAAGGATGAAACAAATGATGAAAGTGAACCCCACAAAACATTCAGTCAATTTTAGCTATTAAAAAAAAATCTGTGTATTTATGTTTGAAAGATGGTTTAATTTAAGACATGTATCTGTTAAATATTTTGGTGCTGGGATAGACAGCAAATATGCTGGAAAACAAACATTTATACAAACAAACTATTATATATGCAATAGGCAAACCAACACCTACATTTTAATTAAAGTTGGAGTTTATTCATATTTCATCATTGTGTAGTAGAATAATACAATCTGAATTTGTGATACAATAAGGAAGGAAGAAAGTTATCCACTTCACCAGTACTGTTTGGTTTGTTGTAAAGATTACAGGTACTGGAGGCATTTTATCAAGATAATTTTCATAAGCAGAGGCACAAAAACATATTTTCCAGGCCTGTCTATTGAATTGTTGAATGCACTGTCCGGCTGATATGACTACATTTTCTTTTGATATCAACTATTTTGCAATTATTAACTAAATTAACATGAGTCATTTTTACTTACGTGCTTGTTTTCCTCTTTTCATTCCAACATTTTCTTCCCTCACTGCTCCATTCATGCAGGGCTAACTTCCATTGTCGCAGCTGCGTGTCCCAAGATCGACGACTGTAAAGCTTAAACTTGTTAGGCGTGACAACATGCTTGTTCTTGATACGTTTGTTCCTTAGGAAATGAAATCAAATTTAATACAAACATACATTTTTTAAATTTTTATATAATGTATTATTTATTTTAAAATTGAAAATTAGGTAGTTATATTCTGCATACAAAAGGCCACCACAATTTTTCTTCTATGATATTGTTAAACATTTATAAAAATATTGTCTGACTTGGGTACTGCCTTCATGTATTTCCAGATGATAATACATGCATTATGCGCTATTTCTTGAAGATCAGAGTGCTCAAAGCGTAGACTATATATTGCTAATTCAGTAACTTTCTCCTACCCTAAGGGTCTCTTCATGTCTAGTATCAGCTACTCTAATCTGTCCACTACAGGGTATGTATGGACCAGTACACCAGGGTAATCTCCTACTCGTCTCGAAAGATGTACTGGGTTCTTTATAATGTTTTCTGTATATTTAATATTTACAAGGCCAAAAGACCAAGCACAGTCTCAGTTTAAAATCATGCTCGGCGATAACTTCTCACAACTTTATGGAAACTAAGCTTCACACTCACCCCATGCATTTTGGTATGGTAAAAAGGTTGGTTGGGCAAGAAAAATATATTTTGGCATAATGCTTAGTTTTCTTACTTTGGTACTGCCTTTATGTAATTTTGATAACCTTCTGTATTTTTTCCATAGTCTATTTGTTTTTGACGTCGAATCAGTACAACTTCGTCCACCTCCAAAACGGTTCTAGGCTCCCTTTTTGGTTCACTGAAACATAGAGACATTTTATATTAGCTGGGTAATTTTATATCTTAAGCTGCACAGACGATCAGTGTTCTTTTACACCATATCCTGCCCTGGGGAATGAATATTCTTGGTCCTGGTACTACTTATGAGGTCCATTACTTTCAACAATGAATGAATAATTTTTAATTTAATTTGACATTTTAAATAATAAAATTTCAAAGAGAAACTCACATTTTGTCTACTTCAGCAGAAGTGAATCTGTTTTCTTCTGACAGTAGCAGTTTCCGTTTGTACCGGGCCATATCTTGAAGTACACGTGTTCGCTGGTACTCAAACTCATCTACCATACTACCCCAGTCACTGCATGAACTGCTTTCACTCATGGTGCGACTGGTGACCCTTCTGCGCTCTGGCGTGTAGCTGGTGTGGTTTAGAAAATTAATAATAATAATAATAATTCTGGATTTATATAGCGCCTCACGTTGACACAACCTCGAAGCGCTTGAACATTATTACCCCCGGATCACTGGATCAAGCACATATGGAACACACACTCAAGCCCCATGTGGGAATTCCATTAATGTGGTCAGAAAATGGGAGGTGCTAGAATTAGTTTTGTAAGCTTTAAATTGAATTTAAATTCAATAAACTTTATTGCAATTTCCAAATTGTGAAATTGAACATATAACATAAATATATAAAAATCTGAGACTAAATTAGACCTCTAAAAATTACACTAGGAAATTTAATCAGTAAAAAAAAAAATACAATTAACAACACATTCATATATTTGGTAAAAATGTAAGCTTGTGAAAATAAGTATAACTTACTCATGGACGTTTTTCTCCAGCCCATCTGAGTCCCTTTCAGTTATTTTGTTTTCTCTCCTCTGCATTTCTTGATTTTCCTTTGAATAACCATTCGTCAATCTATAAACCAAAGAAAAATATGTATAACCAAAGAATAGAAATGAGTCTACTGTGATCAATAAAGACATTGGATTTTCGTTAACAATTAAAACAAAGATAAATTTTAAGTAGGTTCTATTATACTTAAGACAAAGGGAGGAGTGTCAAATGTTGGATTATACTATTGTGTAGTTAATGAATCCTACCCAGCTATATTTAGAAATTCATCTAATACAAACCACATTTTAAAAATAAAGTGGACTAGAAATAAGCAAAATACTAATATGAACATCCAAAAATTATGTTTAGTAAAAAATTTCAGCTTCCAAAAACAAGTTTACTGGAATTAGTATACACTTAAACCGAAAGGTCCACTGATTAATCTCAGATAAGAAAGTATAATACATACTCCAAGTATTGAAATACACGCCATCGTGTTGGGATTCAATATT